CGCTGCCGAGCCGCTTTGGCCGCGGAAGTTCCCGAGGAGTGTGGCGGCTCCGCGGCTACAACAGGTGTCCGTGCAGCATCCCAAGTCATGCGATGACCGTCTCGTGTGTTCTTCTTTGGCAGTGCGTCGTGTGGTCGCCGCTCGCCTCCTCCTGGCCTTGGCCCCACCGCGCCGCGCCGCGCCACGCCGCCTGCTCCGGTTACTTTGCTGCTGGTCATGGTCATGAGGGTGACCCGGTTGCTCCATGTTGTTGCAGGTACGAGCGGCTGCTGCGTCGGGCCCGGACCGAGGACCTGTCCGAGGTGTCCGGCATCGGCTGCCTGTACCAGAGCGGCGTGGACCGCTTCGGCCGGCCGGTCATCGTCTTCGTCGGCAAATGGTTCCGCTTCAAAGAGATCGACCTGGACAAGGTGAGTAGTATGGTAGAGACGGGGGAGCGGACTGTAGACAAATAGGCGACCGCTGGCCGGATCCATCTGGATTAGTCCAGAATTAGCTGGCAGCCGGTGAGCTTGCCGTTTAACGCATTCAGCGGTGGCCGGTGGCCGAGCAGTCGTAGCCGAGCTACGGCGCCAGCTTTGGCCCGCGGGTATCATTTGAATGAGAAAACAAGAAACAAGTATCATCATTCATGCATTTGTCTGCCGTGTCTGACGGGGAAGACCTTTCTGGGCGGCTGCTGTCGTGACGGAGCAGGTAGGCGACGCCACCGCCCCTGTGCGTGTCGTATGGGGGCGTGCGCTGGGCGGTATGGGTGCTGCCTGCGGGTGACGGGTCTTATTTTTAGCGAACTTCTACGTAAGTTTTCTATTTCCGATCCAATCGAAGCAGGGGGGTGGGTATTTCTGGGGGGCTTGCATCAAGGTCCCGAACGATGACGACGCCTCGCCTCCGCGGGTCGTTGCCGGTGACGTACACGGGGGCTCAGGGGGGAGGATCTCATTCAGGACGCGCGCGCGCGAACTTCTTTTGATAAGGCAGTGTGTGACGTGTTGCTGTCTGTCTGATTCACGACAACGCGATGACGTCATGCAGGGCTCCTTCTGGGGGGGTTGCGTGCCCCGGCGGGTGGGCGACATGGCGCCCGACCCGACAGTGATGCGGTTGCAACGTCCGCGACTCCCATATCCCGACCACGCGCACTGGTTCACACAGCCGAGCATGATGTGTAGCCGTACATAATTGTTGCTCACCATCAGGGATCTTGAGTTTTCCGTTAAAGTTTTGGGGACAATTTTTAAGAATTTATTTTATTTTTGTTTGACATATTGATTTTTTTTACATTGTTCCTGCGAAAGTTTCAAAATTTCCCTCATTTTCGAACTTTAAAATCGCTCTAGTCAAGTCAAGTCAGGCGCCTGCACTTCCCCGGCTATGCTGTGCTGCAATGCGGGTGGGCGGACGGGTTGCCTATCCGCACCTCGTACGGCGCCATGGGCAGGGATCTACATATCGGGTGTACCTGGAAATACGCAGCAGTGTTGCGGGTTTGCCTTCTCTTTACACCCGTAAGGGGCCATGGCCCTTGCAGCCATATTGAGTATGCATGCAATCTCGCAAAACTGCTGCGTATTCACAGTAACACCCGCTACACAACAGCGTGGTGAAGTTTACCACCTACCAAATGCCCTGTAGCAATTATTCAACAGAACTGGTGGCACTTATTTCACTGTTAAAAATTTCTTGGGAATTCCCGAAGATTCACTTTCTACCACTATAAGAAATTCCCAGAGGACTCCGTTCTTAGTTTTTTGTGTACTAAAACAGATTTTAAAAGGTGAAAGTTTTCATTCGTCTACATGTTACGAAGCTAAACTCGACACGTGAAATCTACAAAGTTCTTTGGGAAATCCCAAAGGACTTTGGCAATACTTTTCACGACTGTTCCTCCGTGAAATCCCAGGATTTTTTTTAACAGTGTTGCTTTCTATTGTTCGCAATTAGTGTTTGTACTATCGTAGCAGATTTGGATACAGAGTTGGTTAAATCCCCACCACCCCTTCCTTCCGTTATTGCCCCAATAAAATGAAACACCTGCATCTTGTTTGTGAATCGCATGTGTTTGGTCGGCAAGCTGACGTTTATTTCGGCTAAGCCCACGCAGTTGTTATCTCAACTCCCCTTCCAACCTCCCTCGTGTTTTCTGTTTCTAATGCAAGCCTCTAAATATGTTGGGTCGTGTTTTTCAGGCGCTGCTGTACCTCATCTATTTGCTGGATCCTTTGGTCAAGAGCGACTATGTGATTGCGTACTTCCACACGTTGACGTCAACGGCCAACTATCCCTCCTTCCAGTGGCTGAAGGAGGTTTATAATATACTGCCTTACAAGTGAGTAACCAATGGTTTTGACTTGCGTGTTAAAGAGTAACGTTGCGTAAGGAGGATTTCCCAGGGTTTTCCTAGTTTGCCACATCTGTTCATTTAGACTCGCCTCTTATTACCTTAAGTGTGCGTTAGCGTGGGAGTTCTTACTCAGCGTCCTCATACCTCGTGACAGTCTCGTTTTTACCGACATTGGGTGGTCTCTCCTTTGTTTCAAATGAGAGTGAGAATCAGTGCTGTTTCATTTTCTTCTGTTTTAAAACACAATTTTCTTTCAGGTATAAGAAGAATTTGAAGGCGTGCTACGTCGTACATCCCACATTCTGGACCAAGGTTTGTGACCCAACTTTAACTTTTAACAGTGTGGCCCATAGGGAATTGTTCAGAAAGTACGCCCGTTTTTCTCTAATTCATTCGGCACATTACGGAGTCATGGCGCCTGTGAGACTCGGGGTAGGCTACCCCGCAGTACACGCACGCCCTGCAAGCAAGATGTTGCCTGCCCATCAGGCGCTATGAGTGCAGCATTGGCTTACCTAACTTGACAGTTTCGTACCAGCGAATAATGGGAGGGACAGGAACTTTCCGGGCGATCCCTTGGTCCCATACTTCTTTTTCCTTTGTTCAGTTGGAGTGTGTGCATTCATACTCGTGATTTGTTTTTCTCTCCATGCCAACACACGCGCACTCACTTGTTGTTCCAGATGATGACTTGGTGGTTCACGACGTTCATGGCGCCCGCGATCAAGCACAAGGTGCACAGCCTGCCGGGTGTGGAGTACCTGTACGAGATCATGAGCAGGGACGACCTTGAAATCCCCGCCTTTATCACTGAGCACGACATGACGGTAAGGGAACGCCGGGGCCTCCCACCCAGGGCAGGGCCGTGCAGCAGCCTCGCCGGGTGTAGCCGTAGCATTATCAGCGACTGCTCCCGGTGTGGTGCTGCCAAGTGGTTGCAATTGGATTAGTCTATGTATATAAACTTTGCTCCTTCTTCTACCCACCCAAGCGCGCGAAACACTTTTTTTTTTGCTGGGCATATTGCGAATACAACATCCAGGCATACAGACACCTGATGATGAAGTACAGTCGCGAGATGTGACGTTTCCTTGACTCTCGGTGTGGATGTGTGGATCCAGGTGCAGGTTGCTCGAAAGGAGGCTTCTCCGCGCAACAGCTCTGCGCGCAGCTGACCTCGCATACGCACCCCGCATACGTCGGCGCCAAGGCCTTCTTGATGTTTCGTCGCGGCGCTCTTTTGCTGGGTTGCAACCAGTTCGCGGCATCGCCTCGGGCGCACCCAGAACAGCCTGGCGACCGAATATTGCTTCGGGAGTCCGTCGGAATCACAAGAGATTACTACTCCAATCATTCAATTTAGCGCTTCATTCAAGCGATTCCTTGTGACTTTCCGAACGAACACTTTTTACTATTTATAATTTATCTAATTTCAAAAAGAAACATGTGATATGAGAGGAATTTGTATTTCTTTCTCTTTTTACGAAAATCCAACTGCAACTATTCAAATTAAAAATGCCGTTGTCCTTTGATTTTTAATTTCTGTCCTGGAAGGTGTAAAAGCTGATCTAACTTTGATGTTGGTTGCAGATCAACGGACTCCACTACTTCCATCCCATGCAGCCCACCTAGGGGCGACTTTTCCGGCACGAGGACCCCGAGGACTACCTCCTCAACCGACGGGTCCCGTTCCGGAATGAGGATGACGATGACGACCAGCCAGAGTCCCTCTACCTTAACTTTCGCTTGCTGGTACAATACCTGCTCGCCCTTGCCAAACTGAAGTAAGGGTGCTGGGGTGCGTCATGAACTGCCTTGAGCTTGACCCCCAGTGTGCCCTCCTGAGCCCTGCTTTACCCAGAGGACTCGTCTCTCCGTTAAGTGTTGTTACAAGTGTGTCTGTTCGCCATTTTTAAAGCATTTTCATACCCATGAACTAGTTGATGAGTACCAGCATCAACGAAGAACAGGTGCATAGCAAGACTGCGTAGTTAGGCGTTCCCGTTATTTTAGCAATGTTTTATGAAGTGTGCAGTGTGGATGAATGAGAGTGTAAGTAAGTCCCCATAGTTGAACAGTGTTATTTAGTTTGAACTGTGTGTTTCTAAACCTTGTGTAAAGTTGTTGATAGGTGTCCGCATTATCTGCGGTGAGCAAAGGAGCTCGTCTTGACAGCAATATGTTATACTTACTAAATGGTGTGCAATGTACTGTTTGTGGAAATCAAAAGTTGTATGTGTACATTTTTAATACTAAAGTTTCCTGATACATGTGTTGTGATGTACCGTTGCCTTGTTGATACCCTGCTTTTTGTCCTAAGTAAGAAATTTGTATAGCAAGCTTGTGTCGGAATAGTGGCACTATTAGGCAATACCAAAAGTCAGCAAGTCTTTCTAAATGGACGTATCAATTGTTTCTGCAGATTTAAATCTGCAATTATCAACAAAAAGTCGAATTTGGAGACTAAATTTAGATAATTTTTAATGTGGATGCGGGTTTCTCTAAATAACTGGTCTGCAAAGAGAATAATATGTTCAATCAAGGCATTCTATGTATACATAAAAAATGTATACATGAAATAATATAGTTCCATGACTGTGGAATCTCTTGCTTCTCAAGCAGTAACTTGAATGAGATTGCAGGGTGTACTCGTTGTAGTGCTGAATTATTGTAAGTTTGCTAAAGTTTACCAGTCCAGCTTAATTATCTTATCCTTTCTTGAGGGTTTTTGTGATTCATTCACTTTTTCTTATTAATTTCCACCATCTAAAATTGATCATGTCTACTTGATAACCGCCAAAAGCATGGCTTTCCCTTATGCCCGTATGTAGGTCATGGTGCTTTGGCTTTATTGTCATTGAGATATTACCACTATGCTATTCTATACATTTTTTACTTTTTTTGTTTTGTTGAAATTTGTCATTTCTTGGAAGTTCAGTGTAGTATCCCTGTTATTCCTGTCATACCTGTAAAGTAACATCACTGAAGAACCATTACAGCATTTGTAATAATGTACCCAATAGATGTAAATTGTACTTTGAGAACCACCCGAAAAGGCTAATTTCCTCAATGGAATTTCTTGATAAGAACCAAAATGCAATATCTATCTGGTTCTTAATGCTGCAGGTGAACTAAACGACCACTGCCGTTACATTTCTGAACTATTGTCATTTGTTCACATGCATGCTCTTTGCTTTATCATAAGGGTATATAATAATGAAAAATATTTACCCCAAAGCAGTTATTTTTCCTTGTTAGTATGTTAGTTATGTCTCATATTTGTTGGCGGCTCATTTGTCATTTGGCAATGGCTGGTTTTTAAAAATGTTATTGTAATTGTTGTTCAAGTTTTAGCAAATTTTGGTGTCACCTCTTTATACATTTTGGTCCAGTGGGGCATACCAGAATAAAAATGTTTGTGACTCATTTTAATTTGAGTAATTTGTAATGTACTGTAGTTTTGTGTGTTGCCTTGAGGTATAACTCAATTTGTTGTCATGAAGTTTTCAATGCAATTGTTGTAGCAATATGATTTTACATACTGATTTTTGGAACACACTAAATGTATCTTGTGTGCCAAGTAACAGCAATGCTGAAAAATAGTTGAAGTGTTTTGCACTTAACAGTAATCTGCAACCGTGCTTCCAGTTGGGTTTGCTAAAAGTACACCAGCGTGCATATTGTAAATTTTGTATAATATTTTCCCCCGTGGGCAAAAAACAAAAAAGATTTACGAAGTGCATATTCAAGAAATTGCTCTAATGCAAACTGGCAATAGAAGAGTTATTGTGTAAACAAAGTACCTGTTATAGAGTATTCCTTGGATTGCTGTCTTACCTCTATGTTTTATGAATTTGTTTCACCACAGTGACCAATAATACATTCCTAATACAGTTGAAATCAAAGGTGTATCATATTTCATCAAAACATTATTTTTACCCTGCCAAGTGCCATTAGCTGATAAACAGGCACTATAATTTACATGCAGCATGAAAAGATATGGTTCAGGTTTGCATTCTCAACCACGTGTGTCTTAGGAAAAATATTGTATTGATTTGCTATGCAGATGTGTAGGGTTGTAGGATGACCCCTTCAAAAGAATCTGACCGTGATGATTGTAACTGGTGTAGGTGAAATTTCATTAGTGGTTGTTCATAGAGCTTTGGAATACATTGAGTTCTTTCTTATTTAATGAAAATAGAAAGGAAAATAATTGTCCCACTCAAACAGTAAATTTGACTGTGTACATAGAAATGAGCTGTTTAAGTGCATTCCCATTTGTGAAGCTGTGTAGTGATAAGAAGTGCCAAACATGGAGTACTTGCATGTGTTTTAAAGTGGAACACAGCTTTGACTCCTGCAAATGTATGGGTGACAGCTACTTTTGTCTTGCATGTGTCCGCAGGGATGCGTAATCTTAGGCAATCATACCACCAGTTATAAATAGGTGATATTAAGCACTGACAGTAGATTTGAGTCCATTAAGAACACTGTGCCCTCACAGAAAACACAAACTGTAAATGAACGGCTATCACCTCATATACATATTTATTGTAATTTTTATTTTCTTCGTATTTCTTTTAAATTATTTTTGTCTTAAATCAAGAGTCAGATAGTTTCTGAATGTTTTTATCAGAGACAGATAAAGAAATCAGAAAGGTATCCATGTCCCAAAGCATTCTTACTGTCTAATGAGACCATTATGTTGGAGAACAAATGGAGACTCATGGAATGCTTTTGCATTCTAGTCATAGAGGGGTTTGAAGGCAGTCAAGCTGCCATCTGTATAAATGGATACTAGTTAGGATTGTTTTAATGCAATAGTGGAAGTTTATATTTATCATCTAACATAGAAAATGAAAATAGTATTGCAATCAGTTTGTTTGCGCTTTTAACTACTTTGAATGGTTTCCTTCGTTTAACAGTAGCCAGTCATTTTTACAATTTCCCTTTATATTAAGGCATAGTTTTGTCCAAGTTTTTTGAAAGTTATGAAATTAAGATGTTAAAGCTTTGGTTGGGTGGGTGAGCATGAGGTCTGAAGAATTGTTATCCGAGTTGTTAGCCTGTTAAGAATATATTATTGCGCTTTGCTAATTGTAGAGGAAATGGAAAAGGATTGTTACAGTTGTTCTTATTATACCATGGTGTTCCTCTGTTACAGACTCTTAAGAGCACAGATTGAGGACACCATAAAGAAAAATGTTGGAATGATTTGAAATTTAATACCAGAGTGCTCATCACTCAAGCGTTCTAGGATTTAAAAGATTAAAAGCAGAGAATGGGTGTGTATTGTTAGTTGCATTGCTTTTGGCCTTCATTTTCCTCTCATTGGCCGCTCCATGCATTTGTGATTACTCTTTTTTTACAGTTTTAATTTTTTATGTACGTTGAACACATGATATTGAATACACCCAATGTTGAATGTTATACTAGTTATCTGTCGTTTCCCCTTTCCCCTTTCTCATCCGTTCCACTTGCTTGGAAGAAATAACTTGCAGCCAGTTCAGTGACACACTTAGCACAGATGAACGATGGGTGGCCTATGTCGCAGGCGCTAGCTGCCGTCTTCGGTGACACTCAATCATCCAGAGATTGACTGGTACTTTTACAAGCGGAAAGGTCACCAGTTACGACGGGGTTGTGGATGTCAGTATGCCAGTAGACTTAAACATTTACCTAGTTCCATGTGTTATTCTGATCTGCTCCTTTGCGGGTGAAACGTAAAATAAAAACATCTCGGCTGAGTCCTGGCGACCTGCCGCCGCCGGCTTCAGTCCGTAGCGCCACGCCACACGCCGCACCACGTCGGGGCGGCATGTGACGGGGGCGTCATCACGGGTCCTCCACAAGGCCGCGACTACGTCGTCCCGAAAACAAATAGAAACAAATTTCAAAGGGTTCATCACGCTGTTGTTGCGCGCACCCGCGCTTGCGCCCTGGCTCGGCTCGGTTCGGTCTCGGCCGTCCGCTCGGCTCGGCTCGAGGCGCTCGGGCTTTGGGCGAGACCGCCCGCTACACCATCCCGCTAGTGTGTCGCGCGACTCGAGATCGGCCACAAGTGGTCGTACTGTGCTGGCGTGCGCTCGTCTTCAACCGTGTCATTAGATTATCACATTGCTACCAATTCGAACCGACCTGACCCGAGCCGGCGCGCGTGCATCGTGAAAGTGTTAGCCGAGCGTCTGTCGTGGTTCATCGAAATTACCATTATTGACGCAACCCAGGAGGTTAACCACTGAAGTGTGAAAGTCCATACGAAGTTTTCAAGCCGCACCACACACTCCTTTGCCAGCACGTGACCACTCTCTTCTTTCACACGTTTCTTATGTGAGACTCCTACCGCAACCAAACGGAAAAAAGAAGAAGCCCTTCACATTTTTGTTCAAGCCAAAAGTTAAGCACGGTGAAGACCAGCGTGGATAGCGGTAGTCGTAACATTATTAGCACTAGTAGTGAGTTTTGTTTAGCAACGTTACAAGTAGTCGTCAAGTAGAAGAGAAGACAAGTAGTGTCCCAATCCAAAGCGATGGATCTATCGAGCCTTCGTCACAGCCTTAACAGCAGCGGGGAGAGCAGCAGCGGCAGCAGCCGTTGCAGCAGCCGCAGCAGCAGCCGGTGCAACAGCCGCAGCAGCAGCACCAGCCGCCGCGGGGGCGGGGCCCGCGGGACGCGACCCCACCTGGCGCTCCCCGACACCATCCCCGTCGTCAGCCTGGCCAGCCTGCGCCTCGACGGACACACCGCGGCCAGCCCCCTCGACAGCCCCAGCAGCCCGGTGGACAGCCCCATCGACAGCCCCCTGACCAGCCCCTTGATCAGCCCCCTGACCACCATCCCCGTCAACCCTACCCCGGACACCAAGCCGCAGGCTGAGGCCGGCGGTGGAACTCCGCTTCCGCTAATGCAGGTGAGTCGACTGACCGCACGCCTGCCCCTGTCTCCAACTAACACACTCGCGTTTCACCGAAACCAACAGACGATCTTCCTGAAACGGGTCCATTTTCGGCGGTGTGTGGTTTCGAAATGGGTGTTTAGCTAGAGAGTGCGCAAGCGCCGTTCCCTGCTAGCAGCAGGGGCTCGGCTGCCTGCCGGCCGGCCGGGCGCCGCTACGCCCCGCTCCCCTGCCCCGCTGCGACGTCACGCCACGCCCCCGCGGCTGTCGCGGCCGCCTACACTCTCTTTGTATCGCCATCTAAGGACCCCGGCTCCATGCAGAATCGAGGAGGGCGGGGCAGGGCTGCTCTAGCTCTGCTGGTGCAACCTGCTCAGCACGCGCAGCCAGCCAGATGGCAGACGAGCACCAACGAGCACTGGCCCCGAAAGAAGCCTCTTTCCTTGATGTCCGTGTCCCCTAACCGCCGAAGTGCGTTGGAACCGGTGGATTCACCCCGTGGGGCGTGGCGCCATTTGTCCCGGACGGGACGCACGATGAAGCGGCCATTTCGCCCATCCGTCCGGCTCCTGGCTGATCGGACCGGATACCTGAAGTAATTAAATCACCGCCTGTTTGTGACAAACGGCGACGGGCGAGTGTGTGCGTGAGCGTGGTGGGAGGGGGTAATGCGGTTCCTGTTCCTCGTCACACTGGCCTGTGACGGGGCGCAGCCGGCGCGGTGCGGGGGTCCTCGCGGGAGGGGAGGGAGGGTTGGAGGCACCACCCGGGCCGGCCCCGGTCACACCTTTCATCAAACCAACGCTAATAATAGGATGCAACTCGCGTGGCCGCCGCCGACGACGACGACGGCATGCTTCCTTGCTCCACCGCAGTGTCCTGGCGGCCGCGGCCCGGTGGCGCGCGCGGCCTCACGCAGCCGGACCGGCACGCGGCTGACGTCTGCCTTCTCGGTCCGCATGGCGTCGCCACGGACCGGCTTTTGAACGCTCGCGCCACTGAC